GCTTTAGCATTTTCTCGTTAGTCACCCTGAGGGGGTGCGAGTGTTATATGTTCCCAGGTCTAGTCGTCTTAGGTGGCAGTCGGACCTTCACTCGGAATTCGTAGCACTACCTGCCGTGGACTGAGGGCCGTTTGTTTGTGTTGTTGTTTGTCGGGGGGTATATGGCATACTTGCCATATATTGCTTGGCGAGTGGTTTGGCAACCGCAGATTTTTATTGCGTTTTGCTTTTATCATAAAGATGCTGCCCATCTTCTGTCCCAGTTTCCCTGATTGCCTCTTACGACATCAACGGGAAGATATGTGAAACCTTTGATGATGGGGCGAAAAGAAAATCGATTCTGGTGAAAAAAAATTTACAACGTTTAATTAGCTTTATTCACGCGCCATTATGTTAGTACAGCTAAATGAAACGATAATTTCATAGAAAACTTTCTTTTCGTCCCGTTTCGTTTCCTTAGTACTATCGTCTGTCTTCATTTTCGGGAGCGTTTCAAAAATACCCTGTATATTAGACAGATGGATATATTTTCTTTCGAGTAAAATTAATAGCTCCACCTACTTCGTTCTACAGGTAGTCACTTTATCGAACAACTGATTGACACTCAAGGTGGTACGTAAAATAGATGCTAGATGGCCTGAATTTATGAAATCATGAATTTTTAATGAAAGTTTTTTTTTCAATATGGTTAATTGTATTTGTTAATCTTTTTACTGATTACTGTCGCTGCCACGTGGCTGCCATTTCTATATGAATGTCATGAATGATTATGAATAGTGAACCATACAGATGGAAAACGCACGAAACTATCTATTACCAGTTTTGATGGTTCTTTTTTTATTCAAATTAGTATTACTTGGACTCATTTATTTTATTACTTATTTAAACGACATATCTAAAGAACTCTTTGACATTGTTAACTTACTTTTAAAAATACGGGATAGCCACTAATTTTTATGACGAATAGATTAATTTCCCTTCGAATGTTTATACTCTTTTCGATATACCTTATATAGTTCTCACTAATTACAAAAAGATTTGTATGAAGTTTACCTATAACGAAATTGAGGTTTGGCCGTTCTTCACTGCTTGTTTATTCCATAGGCACACGACATCTTCGTACCTTGTTGAATATAACGCGTAAGCGACGGCGTTTTGGTGGCGTTTACGACTTTTTTCTCACGAGCATTGAGCTATAATGCTTCCTATCTCATTTTCTCCCACGTTAAATCTTATGAATTTATGCGCCTGTCTCTTTTTACTGACGCTTTTTCGTTTCATAGACTTTCAAATCACAACGATGCTAAAGAAGTTTTCACTTCAAAAATTATTGTTTTCTATTCTATTAAGCAGTCGTCACGTAATGGGCTGAAACAAGAATGTAATCATTAATATTAATAAATATAGTTTTTGTATTATAAATATTTTAAATAGTTAAGTTACATTTTTATCACTTGAAATTAAAAGGTGCTATAAATAATAATCATCATCATTAAAGAATACTAACTTCAGAAGTCCACTGCTAAATATTTCTCTGATTATGCTTTCTTCTTGTAACACATTTCATATCTCAGTCGGAGCCGTAATTTTGCGTGAATTCTTTGATGAATTTCATCTGCTTTCACAAAATTGTTACTAAGTTGGTCTGAAAATTATTTTGCATATTTTCCTGTATATATTATCAAAAGGTTGAATAATTTTCATGTAAAACTATAAAGAAACTGAAATTATGCTTTGGTTGCTTAGGGGCTAAGAGATCTATGTAGAATATATTATAGAAAATGTTAGGATGTATTCCATCCTTCTACCAAAAATAAATATTGTTACGAGCTTGAGGTTCGTGACAATAAAAATTGCCGATAAAATTACCTAAATTAACACTTTAATTTTCTTTACACAAATTTAAACTAAAACACTAATAATTAATCACACTGATTCACTTTATTCCGCTCCGAAGCTTCGCTTGTCTCGCCAAATTCAATACTTCCCCGATCGCACCTTGCAGCGCCTATAAATACACCTTAGCACCGAAAAATCCAGAACATTCAAGTAAATACGCGCGCCAATCGACTAAGCATCGAAAGTTCGAGTGTCGGGCTTCTAGAAGCTTAGTTCTTCGTTTCGACAACAGATGGCGCTGTCGGTTGAAAGATTGCTGATGTCATTTTCTGGAAAGCTCTCTCGTCGCTCTGTTACCCGACACTCGATGGCGCTAGTGCCAGATGTCAACTTAGCCGCGCAACACTGCCTCCTCCTAAGACATCTCGTCCCGAGCATTATCGGCCCCATAATGCGCCAGGCGATCCACATGGGCGATCTTAGGAGTCCCTTTACGACACCAATCCTCGACATCATCGCGATAATGAACCCAATAAAACTGTTCTCGGACCTTCAGTAGAGTTCGTTTAACTCCCAGATGGACTCTTGAACGACCATTATGGCACAGCTGTAGAACATCGACACTTTAGCCTTAGGGACAACCATTTGCAAACGACAGCTGTCTCCTCGACCATTGTCCCATTTACGGCACAGGACTCCATCCTGAATCAGCAAGCTGTCCCACTGGTCCCAATAGCCTCTAGTGGTCGAACTCATCGTTGAAACGTCGCTCCACTTAGGCTTGGTAGCACGGGCCTTCATCCATTCCAGAATCGGCTTGATGTCCGGATCTTCCTGCTGCGCATGTCGTAGGCTGTCCTTCCACTTGTTGCTGAGGTGGTCTGTCCTGAGCATCCTCACGGATACCACTTCCGTACTCTTTTGCCTAGTACAATGTTTCCAATCTCCAGGACAAGGTCTTCTTGACAATGCATCTGCGTTGCCATGAGATTTCCCGCTGTGATGTCTGATAGTAAAGTCGTATCCCGGCTGCTGCTGGGCGGTGATGTTAGCCGCACTTCCTTTCTGAGATCGTTCACCTTCCCTTTCTAGGGTTCGCTTAGGGCAGCTGGATCGAAGATGGCCCGTTTCCCCACAGCCATAGCACCTAGGGCTGTATCCTTTATTGTGGTCGCGAAACGTAACTGCTGCAACCTCCCTAGGGCGAGGGGAACGACGATCCTGCCACCGCCAGGTGGTGCCGTTAGCTGCACTACCCTCTCGAGATCGATCAACTTCCCTTTCTACAGTTCGCTTAGGGCAGCTGGATCGAAGATGGCCCCTTTCCCCACAGTCATAGCACCTAGGGCTGTATCCTTTGTTGCGGTCGCGAACTGTAGCTGCTGCAACCTCCCTGACGCGATGGGAACGATGATCCTGCCGAGTGCATGGGCCAAGGCGTCCTTAAGCGTCTCGTGGTGCCCGAGCCTCACAGCAGCTCTAACTTCAAGGTCGAGGATGCTGTCGATGAATGCTGCACCAGGTTCCCTTCAATGAGCGCAGGTACAGACCGGTATGCTTTTCGCACCAGCTTTTCCACCTCTAGAGCCCACTGCTGCAGGTTTTCATTGATGCGCTGCACGCCATCTTTGAGCTGCGCACGAAAGACGTGTTCCAGGTGAACGTCGCCATATCTCGTCTCCAATGCCTCAAGGAGCTGCTCATAATTCACTTCCTCACCGAGAGCTTCCAGAACTGTTAAGGCCTGATCGCGCAGGCCTAGTGTGAGATCAGTCATGGCCTTGCTTTTATTCCAGCCGTTCGCCTTCATAACGGCTTCAAACTGGATTTTGTAACCTGACCAGGAAGAAGTCCCGTCGAACGGTGGCACTTTGAACCCACGTAGCGAAGTTGTTGTAGCTACTACGGGAGCTGTAATTCCATCCCCCAGTTTGAGGTCGTCCAGCGTTTTCTTCACGTCAGCCAGCACGTTGTCAACCCGATTGTTCACTTGGTCGATTCGGGTTTCAGCTTTCTCGATTCGGGTTTCAGCTTTCGCGATTTGGGTTTCAGCTTCCGACAGGCGGTTATCATGCTGAGCAACCCTATCCTTCACCTCGTTTATCTCCTTCCCGAAGGTAGCGTGAAGGTCCTTCATGAGGAGCATTTGCTCTTCCAACCGACGGGCCTGTTCATCCTGTCCACTCTGCAGCTGCTCTTTCAACTGGCGGACCTGTTCCTCCTGTCGGCGAGCCTGTTCCTCCTGCTGCTCTTTCAACAGACGGACCTGTTCCTCTCGTCCGCGCTGCAGCTGCTCCTGTAGCATCGCCATCAGAGCACCTAAGTCAGGTGCTGCAGATGTAGGAGCTACTGACGGGCCCGCAGCTTCCGTGGCTGGCAGTTGGCCCTCCGACGTCTGCGGCGTTGCACCACCAAATCTCCTCTGGTCCGTCTCTTGCTGGCGTTGACTTCGGATACGGACACCCTCCGATTCCTCCTTCGGTAAAATCGGCATGATTTGATCCCACTTCTGACACCAATTGTTACGAGCTTGAGGTTCGTGACAATAAAAATTGCCGATAAAATTACCTAAATTAACACTTTAATTTTCTTTACACAAATTTAAACTTAAAACACTAATAATTAATCACACTGATTCACTTTATTCCGCTCCGAAGCTTCGCTTGTCTCGCCAAATTCAATACTTCCCCGATCGCACCTTGCAGCGCCTATAAATACACCTTAGCACCGAAAAATCCAGAACATTCGAAAGTTCGATTGTCGGGCTTCTAGAAGCTTAGTTCTTCGTTTCGACAACAGATGGCGCTCTCTCCTCGCTCTGTTACCCGACACTCGATGGCGCTAGTGCCAGATGTCAACTTAGCCGCGCAACAATATCTTTGTAAGAAAATAGAATATTTAAAAATTCTTTAACACTTCACTACCGACTTTGAGTCTCATTTATAGAAGTAAGGGTGATTAACGATTTTGGGTTGAATTTAGAATCGTTTGGCACTAATTTGGAGGAGTAAGGTTTTGTATTTAGTAGAGGTTTGGTCACCGATTAACGTCAGTTGGCCCGTATAACAGGTCAGTTGGCGCAACTGTAAATTGTAGGAGTTACAAATATTATTTACTAAAATAATGATTAATTTGATTAGTTGTATTGTTTGGTATTTCAGGTGGCGGTCAATGGGCACGTACCCGCGGGCGGACGGGCGGCGCAGCTGGGCTCCGCCGCCGCGCGGCAAGTCGCACTCGTACCCGCCGAGCGCGGGCGCCTGGCCGCCGCCGCCGCGCCCCCGCCCCCGCCCGCCGCGCACCCCGCCGCTGCCCTCACCCCTGCCCTCCGACGACTACTCCGGCCTTGACGCGCTCTGTCTGCAGATGACCGAGCAGGCCATCAACTAACCTCACCCATAACTTGTGACTACACTGACCATGATCATCTGATATGACCGTTTATGAACCAAGCTCGATCAGTAACCAACAGAGCTCCCTTTAAATCATAACCAGAGAACATAATCGGCTATCCCAAATCAAAACACTGTAAGTGACATTTTGAATTTTTTTTTTATTTTATATATAAATTTATTTTATTAATTCTTATTTACACAGTGATAATTATTCCTTGTACTATTTCTTAAATAACCAGAAATTTTATTAAGTACTAAAATCCTTATACAAACAATCAAAACTTTTCTAGGACAATCTTGATTTATGTTTCACCCTCATTAACTAAATTATAGTTCTTTCTCGGTTTTGATATGGGACAACCGAAATGACCTAATAGGGTGTACACAAACACCGTCTCTAAATAAACCCCATTTCACTTAAACACTGCTACTTTTGTAACTACAATAACACTTTACAATATTAATACCAAGTAATACAACTTTCTCACTATATATCATAAAGCAGGACTTTAATTGCATATTCTTTTAAGGACAAGATCAAAAAATTGTAATACAAAAAACATTTTACTATATTTGATAATGACAAACATTTCTGTTAAATTTATATAAACACTGAATCTTGTCATCACTAAAATGATTCTGAAACTCCATTTAAAATAAATTGCCTTTAATTCCTATTTCATAAATTCACCTTGAAATAATAAGTGCAAGCTATAAATCAAGTAACAAAAACCAAATTTCTTCATACTTTCAGTGCTGTCTAATAAAAACTTGTGTATTTATATGTATACAAATATCAATTTAAAAATGTTAACAATTAACATTACTAGAAAACTTATGTAATTTGGTGCAATAAATGAAAATAATTAGTATTCAACTAGAATCAATTTCAGTATGGTAAAATGGGATAGAAACCATGGAAACAAATCTGGTTATTTGATTAACTTTTCTACAGATCGGGAACATGTATTCATTTCTACTGTTTATTATATGCTAACACTTTTCCTTTATTTTGGCACACTTCAAAAACCTAGAGACAAGGTTATCAAATAACTAGACTTGTTCCTATTCACCCCGCGATTTCTATTCACCCCATTTTACGGTATGTATATAATTTTTTATACAATTCATAAAATATATATTCGTAAAATATATATTCATTGCAATGTGTGATTAAAGGGGGTATAGGTGAGCATAGAGAATAGATCTTCTCTGCATGGTTATGTCAAATTAGCAATTACAAGTAGTGATAACTGCGATGGGCACATAACAAATGAATTTTTTGATTAGTTCATCATTGACTATAACAATGTTTGTTGTAATTTTTGTTAATCGAATATCTATTGTAATTAGCATGAGTATTTATTTTCTTCTCTTTTTGCAGAATGAATGAAATGAGATTTGTATGTACAAAATAAGGGATGGATTTAGTGATATAGGGCTGTGCCTTTACGGTCCACTCAGCTAGATCAAATTTTAAAACTGATGTGAATGTTGTTGTTGAAATGTATTTATTTCATTCATTAATTTATTTTGACGACATGGACATGACGTAGCCAATTAATATATTATAAACCATGTAAATCTAGTTAATATGCGATAAACATAGATAAATGGAGTAATAAATGAAAATTGTACATACTGTTGTAACGTATTGTGACGCAAACTGTTAATTTTGGTAGCAATATACTAGGCTAGAGAATACTAAGTTAGTACCGTTGAACAAATGATGAGAAATACAAATTAAATATAAGACGTTCACTGAAATACACGGCACATTATTGTGTGACAGACGGTCAATATTAACACTAAGTGCTGGTTAGAGCTTACATTAGTTGGCATTGTATAAAAATAGGATTAATAATGACATCGACTAAATCTATATTTGCTGATACTGTTCTGTTTGACTGAGATACCTGGAGCGATGTACTCAAAACTGGGTACGGATTGTATTGACCATGTGCAATGAAGTTGATTGCATAGTAACAACAGTGTCCTAGGTTTCTCTGGTGCTAATTTGCAACATTGTTTCGGATTAATCGGTAGTACTTAGTTTAGCTAGAGTTGTGTTTATTTAATATGTTGATGGGACACCGGGTACAATAGGAGAGCTTATTTATACAATTATATTTTAATACGAGCGCGTGTTGCGGCCTAAGTGCGTGATGGTGAAGAAGAAGTTGTATGAAGTGCGTGGAAATAATGCTGCAATCGCTACGGATAGGTTTGGAGATTCATACATCAGTCGATGTAAGTTTTGTGTACATTTTATTTTAGAATTGAACTTTCTAAAATCAATTTTACCACGGGCCTATTTTAATTATATTTTAATGTTAATCATAATTATGTTATATTAAATTATACGAAGATGTAAATTTAAAACATGGATTGCAATATTGATTCAATATTGATCTTTCTTAGGAAATGATTTGCTGTTGACATGAATTGTAATGCCCCATTCACGTATGTCGAATGTGAAAATATATTAGGGATGACTTTTTCATCATCGGACAAAAGTTGTTTCTTGGATAAAATATAAAGGTTTAAAAATATTTATACAACATGAGCTGTGATGATCCTGATAATTATTTTGTTTTATTCTGGTGATGCTGTTGTATTGTCATTGGTCCTTGATACGAGTGTAAATTTTCAAGTCAAGGTCATTTACAAGTTGGTGAAAATTAAATTAAAAGATATCGTTACATAGATAGACACATAGAGCATATTAAAATAACAATATGAACACATAAAAACTACAGATGTGTGAATATAATTATACCTTTCCACATAAAGTAAAAGCAGACTACAAAGAACTAAAAAGTTGTTTATTTTGGCTATTTTAGGGGTGAAATTACTTTTTCAAATTCTATATGGGATCATCCCCGAACTATATATAACCTATTATTATAAATTGAAAATTTAAAAAACCCTCGAAACTAAAATACCTGATTATCTTCAAACGGCTGAACAAATTTTCTTGATACATAGGAACATTGTCGAATAATACACTTTTCAAATAAAATAACCGCACCCAAATCAGTTCAGCCGTTTAAGAGCTACGGAGCAGAGACACACACAGCGGTCAAATTTATAACACCACTCTTTTTGCGTCGGGGGTTAAACATCATCAAAATGAAGTCTCGATCGGCTAAGATCGTGTAACATACATACAAAAAAATAATTAAATTTATTCGAATTGTGAACATCCTTTTTTAAAGTCGGCTCGACTCTGTTCAAATGTATTTGATAGATAACCTTTATCTGATGATTGAAAAATCAACTCTTAGAACAATAGTATTAGTGTAGGTCTATACTAAAAGGATTTTATTCTTGTCCCGGTTAAAGTTTAAAGATGTTTTTAATACATTATGTTAAATTTTACAAATTAACGTTATGTGATTAGTATGTAATCATTGCGGTATATATGTTTCATTACCATAACAGCCTGTCAAAAGTCCTCTGCTGAAAAAAGCCCCTACCATGGGTTGCCTCATTGTTGCCATAGTTGCCACGCTTGGCAAGCAGTTTGGCAATTACAGTTTTTTTATTTTCTACTGATATTAGGAAAATGATACTAACCATCTCCCGATATCATTCCCTCTGTCGCCTCTTACGACACCCCCGGGATGGTTAGGGTTGTGGATATTCGTGCACCACCACTACACGGTGATGTTTTTCGAGCGTATGTATCATTTTTCTTTGGCACGCTCTGTATCCAAAGCGGCTTGATGTGACATAGGATATAAAGATTTTCTCTTTTAAGTAGACTTTACGCAGTCGATTTTTTAATTTTTTTAATGTAGTTTCTAGTTTGAATGTGCATGGGGCATTATCAAGAACAGCAGGTATATTAGTTTAAAAACATTGACACACGCTGACTTAGATGTAATCGTTGACTGATCGTGTAATTTATAAAGTTTGCATGTTCATGGGATTGTCTTTTTTATTTAGTTTTGTATGACAATATTTTATAGTCTGCAATCTTTTTAGCAGTTTTGACTGGATCAAAGATATTTGATTGTAACATGTGCAATTGATTGTTTGATTTTATTACATAGTATATGTAATTGTAAATAATGGACTAGTATGCGATGTTTTAATGCTATGAGATTGTTTTATACAAACACGTGATATTGTGTGAAAGATGTAATTGCATTAGACAAATGAAATAACGGTTAACTTTTCTCTCATTGTTTTATTTTCTGAATACTGTTGGTGATTTACATTGTTCTTACGCTTTTATTCTATTTTGTTTAATCTTTTTATTTTTCTTACTGTTGTTTACAGCATCTGTATCTTGACTGTGATAGAGAAAACAATGAAATGAAATAAACTTCCAATCAAATTATTTAAACATTAAAATAATAAATTGTATTCAATTCAGCTTTTTTATTTACATAAAGAATGTTGTTTATAATATAAAGACAATTTAAATAGCATTTTATGGCTTTTACATGATTATTTAGATTGTTATATATTTAATTGTAATAGGTAATAATAAAGATGAAACTTAAAATATTTATATTTCAAATATTTTCCTGCTTTTGGCTCACAACATAGAAAGACGTAGCGATGAATTCATTTTAGGTAACCCAAAACTATCACAGCGTATTGTAATAACTAATAACACACATAATATGTATCTTACATCATTTGTGAATGCCAACATAGTTTTACTTGCATATGTGTGCGTATAGCGATGAACTTTTATAGGCTGATAAAAAAGAAAAAAGATGTGTCGAGAAATCGAGCATATTTTTGACATCACTTAAAATGTGTGCAGAGATATCCGTCTTACATTGTAATTTTTATTTACGGAATAAGGGTGACAATTATACACGGGGCACCTGATGGTAAGTGGATACTGTAGCCCGTAGACTTCTACATACATCTATCCTCGGTTAAGAATCAAAATGCGGATGCGTTGTCACCCTGAGGACTAAGATGGAATGCCTCGTTTTCAATAAAAAGTGTCTCCGGTTCTGTACACACCAT